TATATATATATATATATATGTATGTGTATATGTATATGTGTATGTATATATATGTATATATATATATGTATATGTATATATATGTATATATATGTGTGCATATATATACATACACACCGGTACTGTGCTTACTCCTAGTCCAACACCACTTGTGTGTATAAAGACCCCAAAATGGCACCTTTCAAGAGACACGCTTACGACGCTGAGTTCAAACTCAAGGCTGTCAGCTACGCAGCCGAACATGGGAATAGAGCAGCAGCGAGAGAATTCAACATTAATGAATCAATGGTACGGAAGTGGAGGAAGCAAGAAGATGACCTGTGCCAAGTAAAGAAGACTAAAAAGAGTTTCCGAGGGAACAAAGCGAGATGGCCACAGTTAGAGGACAAACTCGAACAGTGGGTTGTTGAACAGAGAGCAGCAAGTAGAAGCGTCTCTACAGTCACTATTCGAATGAAGGCAACAGCGCATCTAGTGCTCCATCTAGTGGATGCATAACGCAACCCCTGTCAAACGTTTGACTGTAGTAGCTTCTATTCTATGCGCCTTATAATCTGGTGCGCCCTATATATAAAAACAGTTCTAAAATAGGCCATTCATTGAAGGTGCGCCTTATAATCCAGTGCGCCTTATAGTGCGGAAAATACGGTACATACATACATACATACATGCCCCTCTGTTCTGTTTTGAACGAAGCTCTTTCCATTGCCTTCCAGAAACTGGCTCTCCATTCGGGGATGGACTATGCCATCATGACAGGTGGCGACGTGGCACCCATGGGGCGCGATGGAGTCACTGCCATGCACAAGGTGTTCGACTGGGCCAGCACCAGCAGGCGAGGGTAGGGCACTTTCATTTGCTCCATTAACACTCAATGAATTAGTACTATAATGTGTATCAGCTGTTGGATATGGACCGTGAAAGTTCACTAGTGTAGACTGTATGCCGTGTTCAATTACATGCAGAGCTGCTGTTATTGTACTGGCTAATTTCATTAAAGGTCTTGAAGGAAAAAAATGCAGTTTCTCTCTTTTTTTTTAAAGCACATTCTCTTTGATCTCCTCTGATTCTCTGCAGTGTCTTGCTGTTCGTAGATGAAGCTGATGCGTTCCTGCGTAAGCGATCCACAGTGAGTTCAGCTGCAGTGCCATATGCATGGTGATGATGCCCTGCGTTTGAATCATATATTCATGAGTCATGGTTTTTGCATTGCAGGAGAAAATCAGCGAGGACCTCAGAGCCACCCTGAATGCATTCCTCTACCGCACTGGGGAGCAGAGCAACAAGTTGGTGTCTTAACGTTATTCACTGTGTGTATGGCTGGGCATGAAAAGGTCATCGGCCATGACTGAAAAGGTCACTGGCTGGCCCTAAGTAGTCTCATCCTCTCTCCTTAGGTTCATGCTGGTGCTTGCCAGTAACCAGCCGGAACAGTTCGACTGGGCCATCAATGACCGCATCGATGAGATTGTAAACTTTGCGTTACCTGGTCTGGACGAGAGGGAAAGATTGGTGCGCATGTATTTCGACAAATTTGTGCTGGGTCCTGCCACTACAGGGAGACAGTGAGTACACTTCTTGTATTTCAATTTTCAAACCGTGACTGTTGCAGCTCTGTGGCAGAGGTGATTTACTACCGCAAAGGAAAGCACCGGTCCCTAGAGCTTGCATAATGGTGTATATAATGTATTCAGTACTGAAAACAAAGTGGCGTCTGGGTCTTTACTTATTGCTTTCATGAAAATGTGTTTAAGACCTCAGGAAGTGCAGCACACGAGGCGTTGCAGAGCTCATTGGCCAGTTGAAATGGATGATGAATGACATGTTTAAGCTCGAGGTTCACTTACTCTACAAACCTCTTGTGCTTTAACTCAACAGGAGATTAAAGTTGACTCAGTTCGACTATGGACAGAAGTGTTCAGACATTGCAAAGCGAGCAGAGGGCATGTCCGGTCGGGAAATCTCCAAACTTGGTGTGGCCTGGCAGGTGAGTAGAAAAGCCTGTTGGCACAAAATATGAATCTGCCATGAATAAACAAATCCAAAGCCAACCCCTTTTTTTTTTAATTTAATTTGCTTTCCCGGAAGGCTGCCGCATACTCTTCTGAAGATGGAGTTTTGACCGAAGCGATGATTGACTCGAGAGTCGATGATGCCGTCAAGCAGCACGCACAGAAAATGGACTGGCTGCTGATGGAAGCAGGCGAGGGGGTCGGGAAGGTCGGCGTACTCCTCCCGAAGGCAATGGCCGCAGGGCTCGCAGCCCAGGAAGCGGCGTCACTTACGCAAACCGAAGACGCAGCCCCGACGATACAAGAAATCCTTCCACTTCTGGAGGTTGTGAGCAACGTGGCCCAGGCAGAAGCAGCCGCCCTACCTTCAGAAGTGGAGGCGGATGCTATCCTCAAAGAGGCAGCCGCTTTGGTTAAAGAAAGCCAAGCTGTAGCTGCAACAACTGCAGGAGCTGCTGTCTCGAGTGAAACGGTTGAAACCATCGTTGAGACCGCTGCTGCTGTCCCGTTGGTGCAGGAGGCTGAGGCCATCAAGGACCTGACTGAGGAGGTTCTTGGCACAGCTGTAGTTGCTGACTCTGTTGTTCCCGAGCTGAAGGATATAGCCACTGAGGTTAAGGATGCTGAGGGTGTACCAGCTTCCGCCATCCAAGAGATTGCTGCTGTGAGTAAGGAAGAGCCAACTGCTGATGTAGCTGTGCTAGAGGCTGAGGCCATTGAAGTAGTCAAGGAGGAAGCGACAGTCTATGCAGTTGCTCAGGAGAAGGAATTAGATGCTGTAGTCTCCAACGTTGTCCAGGAGCCAGAGGCTGTGGAAGCCACTCAGGCTGCAGTGGAATTGGCAACGGATGCTGCAAAGGTTGCAGAGGAAATTGCAAACAATGTAGCTGAAGTGTCTGAGTCCCTGGCAAACATTGCCAAAGAGGCTGAAGCAATAGCAACTGATGTGGCCAAGGTGGCTGACGCCGTAGTAACCATCACCGAGGAGATGGAGGCAGTAGTCACGAAGGAGGTTGAAGCGATGGGAAGTCACGTCGCCAAGGACTCAATTCAGGTTGTAGCGGAAACTGCGCCTGAAACATCGGAGGTCGCTAAAGAGGTGGAAGTGGTGGCGACAGATCTGGTCAAGGAGTCCGAGAGTGTTGCCACAGATGCTGTTAAGGAGGTCGAACCTGCGATGACTGAGACCGCTGCCAAGGATGCTGAAGTCATCTCAACAGAGTCTGCCATTGAAACCGAGGCCACAGTTTCAGAGGAAGCCAAGGACCCTCACAATACTGCCAGTGAGTTTGTCGCAGAGGGTCAGACTTTGGCTACAGAGGTCGCTGCCAAGGAAGCTGAGGATCAAACAACGAAGGCTGCAGAGGAGGTAGAGACCATAGTAAAGGAAGTCACCGATGAGACGGACACAGCAGCTGTTCCCGACATGGAAACCAAGGTAGATACAGAGACCTTTGTGTCTGAGAAACTAGAGAGGCCAACTACCGAGAAGTCCGCTGCCTCCCAGACTCCCGGCACTGAAGGAGCGGAGCCCGGTCCAACTGAGAAGCCTCTGTCAAACAAACAGAGCGGAGATGACAACGACAAAGCTCAAACCAAGCCTAGTCCAAAGAAGTGATCACTTCAATACTTCGATGAAATGCTGTTGTAATTGTTAAGCAGTCTAAACATTCACCTCAAATGCTGTCTACTCTTCTAACAATATGTTTTTAACTCAAGTACTGTGACTGACAATATATGGTAATGATTTTGATTATGGTCTGTAGGTTTGTAGTCTGAGTAAAAGCACGTGTGGGCCACTTTGTCTGACTTTTTTTTTTTCCCCTCTCTCATCTGGTCGTCGTTACCATTTTCAAAGTCTGTGGCTGGGTGACATTTTGAAAATGTGTCCTCTGAACGGGACGTTCTTCTCGCATGTTTGCTGACCGGCACTGGCAAGAGTTCAACAGCGTGTCTGCAAAATGCTCGCTCGGGACATTTCTTCCCCGTCACTTCTTAGCAAGAGCGCCGGTGCGGTTGTAGGCCTATATATTCTTTCACCTTTCATAGAATGACTGGGTTCTGCCAGACTATAATTTAAATGTAGATTGAAGATTAATTTCTGACAATGTTACACAGGGGCTCCACAGTGACCCCGCTTTATATCAGGCTTGTTTTTGTCTACAACTGCTGCCATACAGGTGTTTTACAAACACAGCGTTTCAGATCCAGGCATCAGTGTGACCTTTCTCGCACATGTGCAGAATAAAAATAAAAAAATGTTAGACTACTAATCAATTACTTGACAGCATCGAGAGAAAATTTTCAATTTTGGTAATCAAATAATAGCTGAGTATGTCATTTATCACACATTCCCTGCTTCTCAGATGTGAGGATTTTTTTTTTTTGTGCCATATCAGTTGTATATCACTTTAATTTGAACATCTTTGGCTTTCAGTCGGACAGTACGAACCATATAAAGATGCCAACTCAACTTGTTACGCACATTTTATAGATTAGATAATGACTATAACATTCTTCAGAGAAAATAAATAAAACAAGTATTTGCTTCAGCTGTGGTTTATGTTTTCAAAGATTAATAGGATAATGCTAAAGAAAATATTCTTGTAAATGCCCTCGGTGTCACTGGAACGTGTCATATTGTGCCAGAGGAGAACAGTGGCGCGCTTTTCTCAGTTGCACCAGCATGTCATTGGCATTGTTAGTCATTTCCGAGGTGTTGTTAGTCGGCGCTATTATAATTCTAACAAACCCGACTGAAGTTGTCAACAGGACCTCTCTGTATAATCCGTCTGCTGTCGCTGCTCTGACATAACCTCTCGCTATGAGAACGTGTTGTCATCTTCGCTCACATGAGACAATCAAACATCAGAGGTCACTGTTGTGCTTCAATGGCACTTTTAATAAAACAGACATTTCATCCTCACAACAGCAATGTCTGGACAGAGGACGAGGAGGGAGAGGGGGGGGGGTGGCTGGGTGAGGGTTCCCTCTGCTGATAGGCTGGTTTCTCCTGATAAGTGAGAGGGAATTGGATAAAGAAAATTGAACTGTGCTGTTGAGCACTGTGTGGGGAAGATGGAGGGGTGTGTGTGTATATGTGTGTGTGGGGAACTCATCTTGGCTGGCATTTTATTTCCCCTCCCGTGTCTACTAAAGAATGATAATATATCAGAGAGAACCCCGACCTCAACCGTACACGCTCCCCTCCCCCTCACATATTTACAGGAAAAAAAATGAATACATTCAGTTAATTCACAAAGCTAATTAATCTGTGTTTTTAGCAGAAATCACATGGTTTCACATCCAGTTTTCAAACAGACTTGTCTTCCCGTTCCATTCCTATAATCTCTAACCACACAGTCCATCGTTATGGTTTTCTATTGACAAACAACTCGCACAAAAATCCCCCCACGCACCCCCTTTTAAAGACTGTTAAATCCCTTTTGCCTGTATTCATAACTATTTACAGAAGCAGCGATCTAACCATCACAAAAAAACCACCCACCCACCAGTCTCGTTCGCCCCTCCCCAACGCCAACAAAGTCCCACTCCCACCCGATAGTGAAAAAAATAAATAAATTCATGACACCCGTCTTGCCGCCCCGTTCCATACGCTGCCCACATCTTACCCTGTTCTAAAAGAGCATGCCAAGTTTAACAATGAACACAGAAAATGTCTCTATACAGAAAAAACACCCTTAAAAATGTTTTTTTCTTCCTCCTCCCACAATGGTGGACATGGACATAAGACAAGATTTCAGTGGCAACAAATAATTGTCATCTTTCTCCATTTTGGGATTTTTTTTTTTTTTTTAAGTGCTGACAGGGGCCAGTTTTAGTCATACGAAAGTCCTGTCATGGGGGTTTAAGGGGGCCATGTTATGAATAGTGGGAGGGCAGTTTTCCAGGGTCTCTGAGGCAACAGTTGGCCAAGGGGAAGTTTGGGAAGGGGGATGAGAGGAGAGGAGGAGGGGTATCAGGGGAAAGGGGTCTAGGGGTTATTTTTTGTATTATTTTGTTTTTTAGAGTCAGAGGTGTCGGGGACTGGGGTGGCCGTTGTGGTAAAGCTTCTGCTTGATGTGGACCATGTTGCCGCTGGAGTCTTCCAGTTGTCTGAGCTGGGCTCGGCGACGGAGGTCTCGAAGGTTGCAGAACTGGGGCAGCCATGACCAGGACGGGGTATCTGGAGGGAAGAGATGAGAGGCAACAGGATGGTCAGAGGAGGCAGGTGATAAGTGTGTGACCAATAGGGGAAATTTTCCACATCTGATGGATGCAGGTTCCCCCTGATGGATACGCTCCTTCCATTTGTCGCCTATGGGAAGCCGTTACCTTTTGATTGCTCAAAATAGAGCATGGAATCACAGGGTAATACAATTGGATAATATCAAAATGACATATGTGATTACATGGTAAGAAATACATCGTCCATGAGCCTAAAGAGGGAAATAAGCTCCTAAAACTGCCAAGCAGGAATGAAACCTGTATTGTATTGTTTTTATTGCATTATCAGGTAAAACACAAAATGCATTTATTGAGGCCTAGATAGCGAGTACCTTTTGAAGCAAACTTGTTGGCGATGTATTTTATACAATCTTTATTCTATGTTATCCATCAATTATAGCAGCTGATGCAATTTTTTTTTCTAACATCACACAAACACAAAGATGATATACTGTATGAGGCCATATACTGTGGAAGGATCTCACATACGGCCTTGAACAATGTGTACCAAACTGAGTCCAAGCACTTTTTCAGCTGATTTTTTTTTTTTGGCACTTTGCCTTCAATCGGTGGGTGACAGAGACAGAGGGGAAACATGAAGTGTCAGGGGGGATGCAACAAAGGTCCCACGCAGAATTGAACTGGGAGAGTTACGATTACATCGTAGAATGAATGTGCCTTAATATATATAGGTCGTGGCTACACCCGAAGTCTGAGCATTTAAAACACACAACATGACCACCTGCCAAAATTCCAATGACAAACGGACGCAAACTGGCAAAAGACTGAAATGCCAGAGAGTCGAACACTTCAGAGTTCAAATGCTTGCAGGAAAAGCAGGAAATGCCTCTGCATCAGCAAGGCAACGGAAAGTGAGTATCGATATTTTGTCATAATCACAACATGTCACAGTCACAATATTGATTCACTTCCTTCTCTGCTCCCCTTCTTTACTCCTACTCACAAGTGTGCAAGTGCGACAACAGTGTACGTGGTTTATCGTTGGGCAACGTCGTCTCGCTTTTGTTGTTGTGCAGACACAAGCAAAGAACTGAATGCAGGACTTTCGAGGACGACTCAGCCAAACGTTCATGAGATCAAGACACACAATGGTGTAAAATCCTTCTTAGCCTGGTTTTCAGGCTCCAAATCCAGTTAGAGGACACATCAGCAACCAGCAGCACAGAGGGCTGATCTCCGTGCTGTAAACTGTCCTTTTTGGATGTTGATGAAAATGAGTAAGCGCTTCTTTCACACTCATCTTCTCCAGTAATTCTGTATGAATTAAGGGCTAGGCTGATAATGGCTTTCTATTTAAAAGCAATATAATGGCTTGTCATTTTGTCCATTTCTGCTGCCTTTTGTTTTTTTTCGTGCTCAGTTTCAGCTTACCCTAAAATACAATTCTGAAATTTTAAACTAAACCCCAAAATGTCTTCCATACAACACGAAGCCAGAAAATGACCCACGATCAGATGCATTAAGGTTTAAAGGTGAGTCGCTGTAAAAGCTGATGTTTATTATGTCTTTTAGCCACCGGCTTCATCAAAACTGGAACAACTTTTAATTCTGGGAAGTAAGGGTGAGCTTTGTTTGCAGTGAGGGTAGAGTGACTGAGACGGGATAAAAGATTGGATGAGAACAGTAATTGGCATCAATCTCTTCAAGTGCACCACGGTGTTGCCTTTGATTTACCCCCCCCCCCCCATTTGTGTTTGGACTGTTGCACATGTGACCGTATCCAGGTGCCATTTCTCTACAGTCACAGGGATTTTTACAGGTGAGATTACGGCTGAGGCGTCGAATGCATCTACCTGTCTTTGACCAATTAGCAGCCGACAAAGCGGAAGAGGTGTATAACGTGAGGAGGGGAATGGTTTGTGTCTGTCGGGTTATAAACTGGAGCTGGCGAGGCGGAGCCAGGTCCACAGAGACAGTAGAGAGAGATAGCGAGAGAGAGAATGAGGGGAGAGCCCCAGACAGCAAACCCAGTAGCAAATGGCCCTGCTAGAGGATGAGCGAGAGGAGGAGGAGGGGTGGTGGTGGTGGAGTTGGGTAAGCGGGGTGAGGCGTTGGGTGGAGGGGAGGTGAGGAGGGAGAGAGAGTGAGTTATTTATAGCTGTGAATGGGTACGCTGTCCATAAGGACTGCTCTGAAGGGTATCCAAAGGAAAAGGGGCAACAAAGACAGGTTTATCTCATTTGAATAAAAGGATGGGGATGGAGTCGGCAGAAATGGTAATGAAAGGCAGAAAATGGGAGGCGAAAGACACAAATGCTCTTTTAGAGGGGAGGGAGAGGGGGGGGCTTAATGCTGAATGTCATCTTTTTCTAATTTTTTCTCTCACCAGTGTCTTTGCAAAAGAGACTCTGGTATCAGATATTCGCAGCGCATCAATGATAAGATGAAAAAGAGATAGTTGCAGTGGGAGGCATTGTAAAGGAAATGGCCAGGACTAGATTCAATAAGTGGAGAGGGAGGAGCAAGAGATGGAATTAGGAGGGGGGGGGGGGGGGAAAGCAACGAGAATCAATGTGCATCTCAATGCACATGGTGTGTGTGTGTGTGTGTGTGT